CTCAGCTGTCACTTCTGCACAAACAAATGGGATGCAGTAGGCAGCCATCCCCACGCCACAGATATTTTTAGACATAGATGGTTTCCATCTAGAAGGCTAATGTATCAGGGAGAGAGAGTCCAGGTCCCAGAATAGCCTCGTGCAGCCTTAGTGTGCAGGCTGTGGTAAGTTGGCTTCCAGAATGAGGGACTCCTAACTGTTCCGGTCAATTGAGAAAGACAGGGCACCTCCTGCCAGAGAAATCCCCAGGCTACAGAGGATCTTGTTCTGGGTGATTTGTCACCAAAACTATCTTTGGGTTTGGGTGGACAAGGACCGTCTACGCCACTAGTACCCCGTTGACCAACATCAGCTCCTTTGGCTTTAAACAGACTTTGCTGTGTTTGGGGTCTTTTGTGATGAGATCCAGGCTGTCCCAACTCCCGATAGCTTTCCCTTGTGTCCTCTAACTGAACCATGAGTCCTTGGCTTGCTTGGAAAGATCACACACCCCGGTGTCAGTGGGCAGTAGGGATAGGCCGCTCCCTCCCTCCCATGTCTTGCCAATTAGGCCTCTGGTGGGAGCTGGGGATGCCCTGGGTAGGGTGTGTAGTGACACAGAGGCAGCTGGGGGAGAAGAGGATGACATACTGGCCTAGCGAGTTAGAGGTCACATGACATGCCAGGACTTGGCAAAGCCCCTATTTTTACCAGCAAAGCCTCTTAGATAGCTGGGGGGTCTCCTCAGGGTTGCTTTATGACCTTCACTCCATTTATACACTTGCTAGATTAAAATAAAAAAAAGCTGGTTTTTTATTTCTTTGCCACCATTGCTGCTTTTCACTTTTTTGTATAGATCCAACATCTTCCTTGGTTTATCTTTTGACTGAAGAACTTTCTTTAACCTTCCTTGAGGCACACACAGGTCTGCCAACTCTCTCTGCTGCTTTTGTTGTTTAAAAAAAAATCCTAGGGTCGGACGGCTTTAATCCCAGCACTAGAGAGACAGAGTTCAAGGTCACGAGGTCTGCCTGGTCTATAGAGCAGAGCTACTTCCAGGACAGGCTCCAAAGCTATACAGACTAACCCTGTCTCAAAAAGCAAAACAAACAAACAAACAAATCCTTGTTTTTATTCCTTTGTGTGTTTTTATATCTGAGACTCTTTCTCGGGCATTCAGGCTTTGATGCGTGTTTGATAGTCTCTGTGATTTGTTGTGGAATAATCCTTTTGTACACTGCTCTCATTGTTAATAAAAAGCAGGATTTTCAGGGCAGAGAGCATGCTGGGATGAAGGCAGAGTCTGGGGAGTCTCCAGCCAGACTCAGAAGAAGCAACATGGAAAGTTCATAGATGAGGTAAATGAGCCTTGGGGCAGAGCATAGATTGATAGAAGAGGGTTAAGGTAGGTTGTAAGAGCTGGCTGGAGACAAGCCTAAGCTATTGGGAGAGCATTTAAAATTAACCACCATGTGGGTACTGAGAAGTGAACCTGGGTCCTTCGTAAGAGCAACATGTGCTCTCACTATTGAGCTGTCACTACTGAACCGTCTCTCCAGCCCTGAACTTCCCTTGTCAGTGAGCTTCTAGCTTTAGAGGAAATTGCTGCACAATACCTGGCTGCCTGTGTCGCCCTGCGAAGCTCCCCCTCTGTCCACAGCACAGATCCCTGCAGCTAGAGTCACTAGGGGATGGGAGAGGCGTCTGTCATCATCATCCACGATTTAGATGAGCCTGTGCCCTCAGCCACAGCACCGACAACAGCTGTGCTCTGCCTGGTGTCTGGGGTCAGGAGTGGGGTGCAGGGCAGGGTTCTACAGTCTCCTGACCACCCCGTCATAGAAAATAACCTGTTCTGGGCATGCTGGGCCCACCAAAGGAGGGAACTGCTGCCGCTGCTCCAGGAGGACTTGGGAAATGTGTGGTGTGCTGTTCCCTGCCCTCTCCATCCTTCTCACCGGCATCCAGAGGATCCTTTCTCATGGGAACCTGGCCGGTGGCAAGCCTGCCGGAGTTCCAGGCCCAGCAATTCTGCAAGGCTCCAGCTCGGGTGCTGTCAAGGCTCCCACTTTCTCTGAGTAGTCTTTTCTTCCTCCATTTGGCCACAGTTCTGTGCTCATTCATGAGACTCGGGTGACTTGGAGGTCTACAGCCCAGCTGTGATGGATCCCAGCAAGTGAGAGGTTTTGTAGCTGCTCAGAGAGAACTGTGACACTTGAACACCTTAACAGGAAACAGCAGTGTGTCACCTTGTATTCTCTCTCTCTCTCTCTCTCTCTCTCTCTCTCTCTCTCCCTCCCTCCCTCCCTCTCGTGTGTGTGTGTGTGTGAGAGAGAGAGAGAGAGAGAGAGAGAGAGAGAGAGAGAGAGAGAGAGAGAGAGAGAGAGAGCATGTGTTTGGTATACTCATGGGTACATGTGAATACAGGTACACTTGCCTATGTATATACACATGGAAGCCAGAGGTCTTTATCAAGTGTTTTCCTCTCTCACTCTCTGAAAAGTTTCTGTACCCCCAATAAGCATCTCCGTCAATGCAGTAATCCAAATTTGACCAGATCAAACCAAATTAGAAAAAGCCCATGTTTAATGGATACAATGCTCCTGGATGGCTTTCCAGCCCCCCAGAGAGGAGATGGGAAAGAGAGACTGGAAAATCATCAGTCTGTTTTCTGGGGGGCAGTTTAAATACCCTGTGGGAGTGGTCTTGAGCATCTCTGGGGGCGGGGTCACCATTTGGTGGGCATTGTGAGATGCAGCAGGGTTTGGAGAGAGATGGGGGAGGGTGCTTGGGTGGAACCTCCACCATAGCATTTCAGACTCTTTGGGTAGATGGATGCCAGGGGCTGGGGTGAGGCTTTCACCGTAACACTCTCCACTTCATTTTTTGAGGCAAGATCTCTCACTGAACCTGGAGATCCCAGTTTCAGCTACACTGGCTGGCCCACTTGGCCCCAGGATCTGCATGCCTACCCCCTCCCTCACCCCTGCAGTGCTGGATTGCAGGCACACACTACTGCTCTTGCATGAGTACAGGGGATCCGAACCCATGTCCTCATGCTTTCACAGCGGGACGCTACCTACTGAGCCACTTCCCCAGCTCCAACCTACCTTAGTCTCTTTTTCATTGTCATGCTGGGAATGACTGAGGGTCTTCTCTGCCAGGGAGCCAGGCCCCTAGCCAGATTCACAGATGGTGATGCCATTTCAGGTTGCTGGTGTTTGCGGAAACCTGTTTATGCATGTTGGAGCCACTGGTCTCCCCAGGCATATGTGTCCCACGAGAGACAATTGTATTTAGGGGTCACCATGTAGACTCATGTGAGACTCATTCCTGCCTCTGGTCTCGTGGTGTATTCCCATGTTACAGGTAATCCTCAGACCTGCTTGCTTTGAGCCATTTTCCTAAATATGCACATCTGAGATTTAATGGCAGCCCTGATGGGCACCTGTTCCAGCCTGCCAGTCACCAACCTGCACTGTGGAACAGAAGCAGAGGGAGCTTGCTTACAGGAGAGAAGCTTGGGAATACCCAGTGCTAGCCGGGCAGTGGTGGCGCATGTCTTTAATTCCAGCACATGGGAGACAGAGATAGGTGGATCTCTGTGAGTTTGAGTCTAACCTGGTCTACAGAGTGAGTTCCAGGACAGCCTCCAAAGCTACAGAGAAACCTTGTCTCAAAAAACAAAAACAAACAAAAAACCCTGATGCTAGCTTTACGGCTTGTGGCCCATCGTGGCTTCCAAACTCCCCAGCAAGTGAGATTTGGACCCAGGCAAGGAAAGTCCAACCCTCAGTCTGATCTGGGCCCTGAAGCCAGATGTTGAGAGTGGAAGGGTGGTGACCCTTTGGCCAGCCTGTGACACTCATGTCCTTGTCCTCCTATATGCTCCAATTCCTCTTTGGTAAGGTCTTGAGTCCCAGAACACCCCAGAGCAAATGAGGTCACCTGCAGAGCCTTAGGTCCCGTATCTGGCACACAGGAGCACCTGGGGATGATGGCAATCAGTCATTGCCATGGGGATGTTTAGAAAGATCCAATAAGGCCATCAGTTCCTCAGGACAGCCACTGGCCCCCAAGCCCTCATAAAGAGCGTTCTTCTTATGTCATCTGTCCAGAAGAGGTCTGGGAAAATGTGAGTTGGGGAGGCAGATGGAGCCTATGCCTTTTCCCTCCACTTCAAGAGGATATTTGATACCCACGTTCTGGCCTGGAAGGTGACTCGGGAGAGTGCCAAGGGCAGTATTCTCCTGGGGGTGGCTCATTCTGCTTCATTTAATGAGTCCATGACCACAAGCTGTTCAGGACCAGTCTTCACTGACTGCCCCTAGGGAGCCTTGTCTCCCTCTACCATGGTGGCAGGGACTCCTAAGACACCCAGAGCTGCCCAGAATGAGCTGGCTTCCAGTGTCTCTGGCATAAGTAAATTCCCATGGCCTCTTTCAATCCCCAGAACCCACATTGTGGGGACAGAGTCAATTCCTACAAATCATCCTCTGGCATTCATGCACCACACACACATGGGCTCTCTCTCACACACTCACTGAGTGACTGACTGACTGAATGAATGAATGAATGAATGAATGAATGAATAAGTGGGTGAATGTGAAAGCAGTCAGAGGACAGCCGAAGCCAGCAGGTCTCCCTCAGATCCTTGCCCACAGCCTCTTCTTCCCTACTGATGGGCCACTGTCGTTGAGTCGTGTAGGTGACTGGGCTTAGTGTGGTGACCTTTGGTAGGCTGACAACAGGAGCGTGAATGGGTGCAAGGCATGTAGCCTTGTCCTCAGGCTCTTGGCCTAAGGCAGGCACTTGGCACCTCGCAGTCTAATAGTTGGACTAAGCCTACTGGTGAGGACATCTGGGGCTGGCCATGAACTATCTAGGATCCTTACCTACTACACCCAGGGCTCTGCCTTGGGACCTGGGCTTCTGGGAGGAGGGGAAGGATCCCTTTGTCACTGGCTATTGTCGGCTTAGTCCCAGCCCGGTCCTCTGACAGCCTCTTTTTGTACCTACAGGAGCTACGGGGAGCTCACTTACTGTACCAAGCATGTGGCAAACAAGATTGGCTGTTTCTGGCCGAATCCAGAAGTGGACAAATTCTTCACCACTGTCCATCACCGCTACTTCAGCAAATGCCCCGTCTCTGGCAGAGCGCTGCGGGACCCGCCCAGCAGCATCCTCTGCCCTTTCATCATGCTCCCCATCACAATCACGCTGCTCGTGACTGCACTGGTGGTCTGGAGGAGCAAGCGCACGGAGGGCATCGTGTAGGTATCCCAGGCGACGGGGAGCTGGGGCATCATGGGCCTGGACTAGCAACAGCATCGGGATGATAGCAAGGCAGGCCCCGCGTTGCATCCTGCTCTAACCTAGCTAGCACAGGACTTCCGAGTGGCTCTGCATTAAGCTGAACGTGCTCTAGGTGGAGGCCTCTAGCAAGGGAGGCCTCTGAAAGAGTTCTAAGTGCCAGATCTCTGGTATACACCTCACTATTGTGGACTTTCTTGACCTCCAAGCAAAACTGCATAGACGTGTTTGTGGATGCATAGTTTGTGATTAAAAGAGTATTCTTAAACTTGGGAAGTGTTCTAAATTCTGGGTAGAAATAACCTATACAGGGAGGCAAAGAGTGGGAGGAAAATCAAGCCACCTCTGCAGGTCTGTCTTTTGCTGATGGGGTTTACCTCAGGGCTCTGACTGGATGACATTCAGTCTAAGGTGCCTAGTGTGTGGCCAGGGTGACATTCAGTCTAAGTGCCCTGTGTGTGTTCAGGGTTCCCAAGTGTTTCTGATGCCTTTGGCCTCTACTACATGGTCCCTGCTTTCTTTTTCCCTTCCCCCACCCCTGAGACAGGGTTTCTCTTTGTAGCTCTAGCTGTCCTGGAACTTGCTCTGTAGATCAGGCTGGCCTCAAACTTACAGAGACCCTCCTGTCTCTGCCTGCCGAGTGCTGGGACTAAAGGTGTGCACCGCCACCACCTGGCACAGCCCCTGCTTTAAGTCCTTGGAAATAATCATATACATTCAACACTATCAAGCACACCTAGTATTCTGGGCAGTGGTGGCACATGCTTGTAATCCCAGCACTCAGGAGGCAGAGGCAGGTAGATCTCCATGAGTTCGAGGCCAGCCTGATCTACAGAGGGAGTGACAGGAGAAGCTCCAATGCTACACAGAAACCCTGTCTCAAAGAACCAAAAAAAAAAAAAAAAAAAAAAAAGAGCAACACCTATTATGAGCCAAACCTAAGGACCCTTTGGTCACACTACCTTCCCTGAGGAAACCCCAATACACAGGGCAAGTGAAGGCCAAGAGGCGCCAGGTATGTGACTTCCTCCTCCACTCACTGCCTCTGGCCCCTGGGAGGCCACAGACAGCAGTGATAATATTAATTTGAACACTGAGCTATGAAGCCGGGTGTTGGTGCTGCACGCCTTTAATCCCAGCACTCGGGAGGCAGAGGCAGGCGGATCTCTGTGAGTTCGAGGCCAGCCTGGTCTGCAGAGCTAGTTCCAGGACAGCCAACAAAACAATACAGAGAAACCCTGTCTTGAAAAACAAAAAACAAAAACAAACAAACAAGATTGAGCTATGTCAGTGCTTGTCTGGAATTGAAGCAGTTTGGGGGCTCAGTGAGATAGGATTGCTGTGAGTTTGGGGCTAGCCTGGGCTACATAGGGACATCCTGTTTTTAAAAAAAAACTGAGGGAGAAGGGGAAGAAGGAAGAGGAGAGGGAGGGACAAAGGAACATGAGATTGGACTCATTTGCCTGAACTGGAGACCAGCCTGCCTTCCATGGCTTTGACAATGAAATCCACAAAGTGGGAATAAAACAAGGCTCCCCTAAGTCACAGAATCCAAAAGCAGCGAGAGAACTGGGGACATTGGCTGGGGAAATGGAGCTGACCCAGTGTGCTGTTCCCTGAGCTGCTCAACGAGCTCTCAAGGTTTCCGGTAAGCCGAGAAGGCTGGAGCCTGAGGTCATCTTGAAAGCCAGGCCATCCATCCAAATGTGCTCAACCAAACAGGGGTCAGGCCGGGAAGCAATGAGCCCAAGACCCCTTGCATATCAGCCTCCTAGGGAATCCTGGTCCACCGGGAGCGGATCGTGATCCATTTATCAAAAAAGAGCACTAGTGGTGCCCTCCTGAAGACAAGTCAGAAGTGTGGGCCAGGAGTCTTGAGTGTTTGTTCTCAGTGATTTCTCTTCTAGGAACTCATCCCAAATACGTAATTAGACTGCTAAATGGCCCGTGGGACTAAGAGCGGAAGAGAGGAGACACCCTCAGTGGCCTGACAGGAGGACTGCTCCATCAGATTAACTCCAGATGACAGAAGGCAACTCGGTTCCCTTTAATGACATATATGGGAGTGCGTTTCATAGAACATGGAGTTCATTGAAAAGGGCAGATTTTAAAGCAGGAAATCAAGGTGACCTCTATGTTGTGTTTGTTTGCCCATGCAGTCCCTGTCCCCAGGCTACATTACGCTGGGGCGGGTGGGGCAGGGAGTCATGTAATAGGCCTCCCAAAAGACAGACCAACACAACCATATCTGGCTGCTACCTTCCCAGTTGCTGGACGCCGTTTCCTGGTGAAGGGTGATAGAGTCCAACCTGACCTGGCTGTCCTAACTTGAGCAACTAACTCATCTCTGGTAGCCATGGGGGAGACGACTTGGAGTATGTGAGCCATCTGCCTTTTGCCAGTGATGTTGTTTGAACCCCTGAAAGACCACATAGCCAGTCCTAGGAGCACCATGCTTAGGGCCAGTAAGAGTGATGCCTAAGTGAAGACTGAGCGCAGGGCGGTGGCGAAACACATTTTTAAAAGATTTCAAAGTGTATAAGGGTATAAGCATTTTTCCTGCACATATGTATGTGCACCATGCACATGCCCGATGCCATTGGAGGTCAGAAGTAGGTGTCAGAACCCCTGGAGGTTACAGGTGCTTGTGAGCTGCCATGTGAGTGCTGGGAATGGAATCTGGCTTTTTTGCCAGAGCAGTAAGCGTTTAACTGAGCCATCTTTCCAGCCCTGAGATGCTTTTCTCTGTGGCTCACCTCCTTGGTGAGCATAGAAGACCTACAGCACAGCACTTTTCAAGGCTATTCTGAAAAGTAAATTCCTATTGGGACTAAGCCAAGAAAGGCTATGGGGCTGCTGACTTTACTCTGTCTATCCGCGCATGTCAGAGATAGAAAGTCCCTGAGAGAAACAGGGTTTCTCTGTGGCTTTGGAGGCTGTCCTGTCTGTAGACGAGGCTGGTCTCGAACTCACGGAGATCTGCCTGCCTCAGCCTCCTAAGTACTGGGATTAAAGGCGTGCGTGCACCACCACTGCCGGGCTCTGATCCCTCTTCTTGAACTCAACACAGCCACACTTCCTGTCTAACCACACACCATGCAGTACTTTCTCCAACATGCTGGCAAGAGGCTGGGGAAACTTATTTTCTTGTCACTCCTGGTATTAGGGCAGGAAGTGGGTAGAGGTGCCTGGAGGGCAAGGGCAGGTAGTAACTTCTGTCCATGCTCAGCACAGGCCACCAGGACAGCGTCTGCACCCTGCTCAGGCCCACCCCATCCAAGGCACAGAGAGATGCCGTCCGACTTTCATTCTGGTATCTTCTTTTAGGGAGCTCCACATTTCCAAAAGAAGATGGAAGAGGGCCCAGTCGGTCAAGAGCCATGCAAGCATGAATGAATTAAGGAAGTCCATGAACGCCCAAATAAAAGAATGACAAATATTTATTTGAAGAACACTCACACGATGAAGGTGAAGAACAGTCATAGTCCTCTGCCCCTGGAGGCGCAGGATGCTTCGATGCAGGTCTCAGACCACCACCCAAGAGAGAGGGGCGGAGCTTACTCCCAGTCCACCCCGTATCACCAGAGCCCTCGCTCCTTCAAGGGGCCAGAACCTCAGAGACCATTGGCTGAATGAGTTCCCACAACAATTTCTCCACCACACATGGGGACCTCAGTTCAATCCCAGAACCCATGATAAAAAAAAAAAAAACAAAAGCAAACAGGCCCAGTGGTGCCCACTAGTAATCGCGGTGCTGAGAAGGCAAACAGGTAGATGACTCTCTTGGGGCCACTGGCCAGTGAGCCAGCCCAGACCAATAAGACTTCCGTATGCATATTTATGTGCCCCACCCCCCCACACAAATACAAAGTTGCCATGCACAAGCAAACTACCTGGGTCAAATCAGATGCCAACTCCACCAATGGAGAGGCAAGCCAGTGACTGCCTGCCCCTCTGTTTCCTACCTACCAAGGAATGACTGGGCCTCAGACAGTTCGGTATTTGCAAAGAGAGCCCTTGACATGCCCCAGCGTGTCACAAGTGGTCATTTCCCTTTGGCCATGGGGACTCACCTTTGTACAGGGACCTGTGACCTGACTACTGCATGCGTGTGACTGTCCCTAGGGGTGTACCTTTCTACTCTCAGCGTGTGTCATTTTCTGTCGCCCAGAGGCTGGAAGGTGAGTGGATAAGGGAACACTCACTGGTGCTCACCACAGGAACTACTAGCACCGTGGAGGACTTTCTTCCTTCCCCTCTGCGTCATACAGACCTGCGTTCCCGGGGACTGCGTTGCAGACTCCACAGTCCCCTGCTTGAGGGGAAGCAGTTCTCCAGGCTGGAAACCTGACCGCTAGGTCTCAGCAGACTTGGCTCCTCCGGGGAGGGGATCTAGCAGATTCCAGTCACTGGGATAAGGTCCACCCGACAACCTCACCTGCCCATGACTACCTCTTAAAGACGCTCCCTTAAAATAGGGATCTGACGTCCTGGGGCTTAGGATCTCAACATATGAATCTGGGTGTCTGTTGGAAGGACAACTTGCCCATGACAAAACGCTGTCTTCCTACTGCCAGCTGGCTCACTGCAGCTGGTTATGTTATGGGCCCACGTTGCAAATATTCGTGAAAACTCGAGGAAAACAACTCTGGCCGGAAGTGCTCGGGAGCCATGGAAAGAGGGAACAGAAACCTGCTTCTCATCAAAGCCCATCAGCACACATTCTTGTTGGGAAACGCGAAGCTCAATTAGGAAAGCGGGTGGTGGGGAGGGTCTCCGGGGAGACTGCCTGGAAAATTCCAGAGCCCGAGTTCCTGGCCTTCATTTTGTCTCATTTTTCAGAAAAAAATGGGCAGGACTTCTCTCTTGATGACATGTTCTCGACCAGATAACGTTTCTTGTTCCTAGCAGATCATGCTTCTGCCCACCACCTAGATAAGAAATAAGAGGAGGGCAGAGGAAAGAAAAGAGAAAATTTGCCAGGTGGTGGTGGCACACACCTTTAATCCCAGCACTTGGGAGGCAGAGACAAGGCGGATCCCTGAATTCGAGGCCAGCCTGGTCTGCAGAGTGAGTTCCAGGACAGCCAGGACTACACAGAGAACCCCTGTCTCAAAAAACAAGGAAAAATAAAAAGTGTGTTTTTCTTGACTTAGCAGCAGCGTGGGGTGGAGGATGTTCAGGAATGTGGAGGAGGTCTGTGGATCTGGGCAGTGGAAGAGGACATCAAGCATGCTACTATAAGGAAAGAGTGTCTGAGGGCCCGGCCGGAAGAAAACACTGGTATGGAATCATCCGGAAAGGTGGCCACCTCACTTACCTCTGCCCCCTGTCTTCCACCCTCAGAGGTCCTGTCAGACTCCCAAAAGGATGGCTGAGGGACTGAGGGGTGCTTGATGTCTCTGAGCATGATGGCAGAGCTGTGAACCCTGAAGCCCCATGGCTGGTAAACCTGTGCTGCCCCCTTCCTGTAGCACCATGGGAAACACAGAGATTGGGCTTGGCAGGGGGTGAAGGTGGCTAGTCTGGCTGCCCCAGCTTGGGGTATCTCTAGGAGTCATAGCTGAATGTTTCCTTTTTTTGTTTGTTTGTCCCTGCACACCCCTCCCCATTCAGACAAGGTTTCTCTGTGTAGCCCCGGCTGTCCTGTAATTCACCCTGTAGACCAGGCTGGTCTCGAACTCAAGAGATCCTCCAGCCTCTGCTTCCCTATGCTGGGAGTAAAGGCTTGTGCCATCACTGTTCGACTAGCTGAGTGTTTTAGACCGGGTATGGGGTTGAGGGTATGGGGTGGGGATGAAAAGCCCGAGTGAACTTCCCTCTGCAGGGTGACAGCCCTGTCCTGTACAAGCTTTCCTGTCCAGGCTCTCCTGCCCGCCCCCCTAGGCAAACTTCACATTTAGAAGCCTCAGTTACACTGGTGATGCTTTCAGCTTCTGTTTCCTGAGCCCCAGGAAGACTGAATGGCTGGACCCTCACCCAGAATGAGCCATTTGGTATGTCCCAGTCCAGTCCCAAGCCCATCATTATGCTGACCCTTAGATGCCTTGCTGTCATTGTCCCTAGCCCCCCTCCTTACCCCAAGGCTGCCCACTGAATAAAAATGAGGACATGGCCGCTCCTAGGTAGGGATGAGAAGGGTTTTATTGTAGAGATGGAGAGGATTCATCGAGGGGCATCCGGAAGAGTCCCGACTGAACCGGATGAGAGGTGAGGGAGGGTGTGTGGACAAACACAGCTGAGAGAGGAGAGAGGAGAGAGGAGATGGTGCAAACAGACCACGAGAGGAAACAAGGAACAAGAGGCCAAGAGAGAACAAGAAACCAAGACAGCATGCAACCAAAATGTCTGGGTTTCGTAGGAAGGAGAAGCTGGGTGAAGGGAAGGGAAGCTCTGGGCGGAAGAGGTTGAGGGTATGGGGTGGGGATGAAAAGCACTGAGTGGAGCCAGGACTCTGTTCCCGGTAGTGCCGTTGCTGAGATTGCCTGGCAGCCAACATCCGCTTTGATACATTTTTTAATTTAAATTAGAAACAATTTTACATATCAATCCCACTTCCTGCTCCCTCCCATTCTCCTATGCCCCTCAACAATCTCCCCCCACCTTCCACCCCCATCCATTCTCCAGGGAGGGTGAGGTCTTCCATGGGGGATCATCAAAGTCATCAAAGTCTGTCACCTAGGGCCCTCACCCGCAGTATCTAGGCTGAGAGTATCCCTCCATAGGGAATGGGTTCCCAAAGTCCATTTGTGTACTAGGGATAAATACTTGTTCCACCGCCAGAGGCCCCATAGGCTACCCAGGCCTCTTAACTGACACCCACGTTCAGAGGGCCTTGTTTGGTCCTATGCAGGTTCCCCAGAATGGTCTTGACCCCTTTGCTCATCTCTCTTTCCTCTCTGCAATTGGATTCCAGGAGTTCGGCTCAGTGCTTAGCTGTGAATCTCTGCTTCTGCTTCCGTCAGCTACTGGATGAAGGCTCTAGGATGGCATATAAGGTAGTCATCAATCTCATTACAGGAGAAGGGCATTTAAGGTAGCCTCTCCACTATTGCTTAGATTCTTAATTGGGGTCATCCTGTAGACCTCTGGGACATTTCCCTAGTGCCAGATTTCTCTTTAAACCTATAATGGCTCCCTCTATTAAGGTATCTCTTTTCTTGCTCTCCTCTATTCCTCTCCGGAGTCAATCTTTCTGATCCCTCATGTTCTCCTCCCCATTCTTCTTCTCCCCTCCTTTCTCCTAATAGGCACCTCAGTTAGTCATTTGTCCCGAGTTTCTTTGGGACCTGACACTGAACCAATATGCCCATCTACTTTCTTTTCTTCCAAGCCACCCATTTGATCAATTCCTTTAAAAAGGATTTCTTCCTTTGTTCCAAACAGAGCAGAGGGTTCCTGGTAATGTGGGGAAGGACTTTACTTGCAGTTTTAAAAAGGAGGAGTGTTTGGTGGCTGAAGAGATAGCTCAGAGGTTAAGAGAACTGTGTGCTTTTCCAGAGGTTCCAGCAGCCACTTAGTGGCTCACAACCATCTATAATGAGATCTGGTGCCCTCTTACGGCCTGCAGGTATACATGCAAGCAGAACACTATATACATAATAATAAACAAATTTTTTTTAAAAAAAGGAATGTTCTAGTGCCTCTTGGTGCTCAACCTGGCTGCTGGATGACAGGGTCCTAGAAGGAAAACTTGGCGCACAGGGAGGCCTGGGAGACCTTTAAGGAGGTGAGCTCAGTTCAGCTGAGCACTGGCTCCTCCTTTGCTTACTCTCTTCCTTCTTTTTACCTGTTTTATTTATCTTAAATTTCCTCTTTTCTATTTTCATAAGTCAGCATAGTCAAAGAATTTCTAATGCTTAAAATGGTGTTCATTAGGCGCTCAGAAAGCGTGCATTTAATTTGTTAATGGTTATTAATATGTCAGTGACCATAGCCTGACTATTCAGCCCTCCATGGATAGATAATTAACTGGGGTGACATTTTATCTCCTGTTGTCATGCAAAATTCTACTTAAAACAACTCCTTGGCCTAGGAAGATGGCTTGGTAGGTGAATCACTCTCTGCACAAGCTTAAAGGCACTGTTAAACATGAGATTCAAAAGAAAGACCAGTTCCACAATTTTTTTCTTTTTTTTCCCCCTGAGACAGGGTTTCTCTGTATTGTTTTGGAGGCTGTAGACTCGCTCTGTAGACCAGGCTGTCCTCGAACTCACAGAGATCTGCCTGCCTCTGCCTCCCGAATGCTGGGACTAAAGGTGTGCACCACCAATGCCCGGCCAGTTCCACAATTTTAAACCAAAGTTGAAGCAAACTTTGATTAAATACTGGCCAGGATGATGGAGTCTGCCTAGGTCCATTCCTGGGTTCCCAGAAAATGGCAATGGGATACATTTTGCATGGGCTTAAAAGGGCCAAACTCACAAAGCCACCATATTTCCAACCAGATCCAATCAGGGGCAAGTATATATCCTGAGGTATATCTTTCCTGCATACTTCCCTTCTATATCCAATCAGAGGCAAGTGTACATCCTGACGTATTTCCTTCCCAAGTACTTCCAGCCTACATGTAATCTAGCGCATCTGGTGCAGATGAGTCAAAATTGTTTAGTGGAGTGAATGAATGTGGCCTGTTTTCCTCCATAAACAATAACCTCCAGCATTTCAGGAATATCTGTCCTTGGGCAAGTGGGGCTTACAGGTTAACTTTGGCCCAGACCCATGATCTCCCAAAATCACACAAAGCTGGACGCAATGGTGCCCACCTGTGATCCCAAAGGAGACTGGAGGGACTTGAACGCTGACACAGCCTCAAGCAAGGTAGGAGATTCTTCTCTGATTTCCACATGCAAGCTGTGGCACACATCCCCACGCAAGAACACACACACATGCACACACACACATACACACACATGCACGCACACATACCACACACATGCACGCACACATACCACACACATGCACGCACGCACACACACACACACACACACACACTCTAAAAAACAAAAACTTATTTCACCATGGAAGTATTCTGCAAACTGAGCAAGACACAGGTAAACAAGCAAACAACAAAATAAAACAAAGAGCCTTAATTCCTAGCACTAAAAACTTTTAGCATTCATTTGCTGCATACTGTCCAAACTTTAGCTTGTCCTTAGGTACATAGATAATGGATGTTTCAAAAAGAAAAATTGGCTTGTTCTACTTTGTAAATAATGTTTCCAATTTAAAATTACTATTAACATTTAAAAAAATACATCAATTAATTTTAATGACCAGAGTTTTCAGATGTCCCAAAGGCAAGGGTTCTATCCTTTTTGTTTATACTGTTTATAAATAATGCTCCGATCCGTGCTTCCTTATTTCCGTCCTTAAAACAAATGTTTAGAAATAGTCTGGTGGGTCAAGGGGATCCTTGTGCTTTGAGTAAACACTGCCAGGGTTATTACAAGTGCTTACATCACCCACAGTCACCAAGGTCAATTAGAACTCCTACCTAGGCATTTGCCTACAAGGGAATTTTTCATTAGTAAACAGGAAAATCAGTTGGGTGAGGAAAGATGTTCTCAACTGCTGTTCTCATCTTGCATGTCTGACTATGGAGTGGCCAAGCTGTCACTTGTGGGCACTGACCACAGGAAGTCTTAGTAAATTACCATGCAGGCTCTTACCACCAATAAATTCCTCCTCTCTTTACAAGAGCCCTCCACTCTCAGGCTGACCATGTTCACATCTTATGCAAAAAATTAGAGTTTCTTTAGCCTTTTTTTTAACATCAAAACTAAGTCCGTACTTCTTTTAAAAAGTCGTGTTTTCCTCAGGATTCTGTGAGCTATCCTGTTCTTGTTTTGTTAAGCAGATTAGAAACTTCCATCTTATTCTGTGCTCTAAATGGCTTGTGGGGCATGAGAAACACAGGGACGACATGGAAATGCTTGATAGAGTCAAGGAGATGCCTCGCCTCTCGGCTGTAAGTGGTGCACACAGACAAACTTTGAAGAGGATGAAGCAAGAGGATCATCTGGGGGCCAGTGTAGGCTACACTTTAAGCTAGATGTGGTGGCTCATACCTTTTGTTCTGAGACAGGGTTTCTCTGTGTAGCCTTGGCTGTTCTGGAACTCACTCTGTAGAACAGGCTGGCCTTGAACTCACAGAGATCCACCTGCTTCTGCCTCCCAGCCGCCAAGTTTGGTACACGCCTTTTCTCCTCAGCTGCATAGCAAGAGCCTGGTCAACCTCCACTACAAGAGATCCTGTTCTGAAAACAACGAACAACAAAACCCACAAGGTGGTCAGGGGATGCGGATTAAAGCAAGAATGGAATGCCATTTGTGTATGTCATATTGGCAGTTTTTAACGTGATAAGAAGCCACAATGATGATTGTAATCCGGCTGTAAAGAACTACAGCTTTTGACAGGACCAAACTATCAGATCCTATCAAGCTTTTTTTGAACATTTACTTATTTTATGGGAAAAGGTATGGGTGAAACAGCTGTGATTGTCAGGGAGCTGCCTGAAATAAAGATGAAAGCTTGCTTGGTTTGCACTGGGAAGATAGGAAAAGTACCTTCATAGCAAGACTCCATCAAAGCGTGGTGATATGAACATGATCCCTTATTTGAAAGGTCTTCATTTTGAAAGAGAATGCCTGAACCGGGCAGTGGTGGCACACGCTTTTCATCCTAGCACTCAGAAGGCAGAAGCAGTTGGATCTCTGGTCTACAAAGCCAGTTCCAGGATAGGCTCCAAAGCTTCAGAAAAACCCTGTCTCGAAAAAACAAAGGAAAGAAAGAGAGAGAATGCCTGAGAAGGTACATCCTCCAGGCAGCCAGTTCCAACAGGACAACGTAGGTCCAGTCATGCAGGGACTCAGTGTACACTAACTACAGTGTAGTCCAAAGAGACCAGACCACACCTCATGTTCACAATAGGATTTGGTGTTGTCTGCACGGTGCTGGTCTTGCAAGCATGCCTATAGCCAGATGTGATGAGTGAGCATCCAGGCACTGCTAGATGGAGTGATTTCAGCAGCACCTCTGAAATGTTTTCTTATGGATTGAAGGCCCTTCCTCTGTGCTGATCAGATCCTGGGTCCAGTGCCAAATATACCAAAAACAAACAA